CAGGTGGATCTCTGCCAATTCCCGGGACCTATAATGCAGCTGGCCTGACAGCCACCTCACTGCCCTTTGACCTGCCCCTGCTTCCACTGACTCTACTACAGTCTTCTAAGAAGGAGCTCTGAGACGGATCTAAGGCTCATTTAAGTTAGTGTGAGGACATGTTCAGACCTGTGGGAACAGGTTGGCTAGGAGTAGAACCTGAGAGAAACAAAGCAGGGATTTGTTCCCTTGAGAGGCCTGCTGTGAACTCTGTAGGCCTGCAGCTCAGCTCTACACCTTGAGGTCAGCTGTGGAGAAGCAATGGCGCTGCACTAGCCAGCTCCACTTTGACTCAGGCTTCAGAGACTTACTGTAACTTCACTCAGGTCCACTCTGTGGATGACTAACAGCTTCAGAACAGGTCTGCTCACCAGGGCACACAGGCCAGGAGAGCAGTTCTCAAAAGCGCGCACACACGCGCACACACACACACTCAGACACTCTCACACTCATACACACACACTCATATACACATACAAACTCACACATTCATACACACATATACACTCACACACTCATACACAAACTCACATACTCATACACACACTCACACAAACAAAAATAAAAACAAATCTTTAAAAGAAATCAGGCAGAGAGTGGTATAAGCTGCCTCAAGCTTACTGACAACCTAGCAGGGCACACCGCTGCTCCAGGGACCTGCAGGTGTTCAGCTCACAGACTCTTTCTTTAAAAAGTACTTTTACCTGTGGCTGGACTCATGTACATGTACAACTGTGCATGCCTGGCCACTGCACACTGTGTACTCAAATAGTGTGGCAAAAAATTTAAAATTAAAGAAATGTCTTACTCTCTCTTTTTCTTCTTTCTTTCTTTCTGTTTCTCTCTCTCTTGTTTCCCGCTTTCTACTCCTGCACTTCTTCCTCCTTTGTTATCAGCATGAGGCTTCTTAATCTGATGCTTTACACATTCCATCTCAACACAGATGCTAAATTTTAATCACAAATGCTTGGTTTTTATTTTTATTTCATATAGTCTACAGGTGAGAAGTAGATTCATGATTATACCTGAGCTATGTCAAGCAATAATAAATTTTTAGCATTTAAATCTAGTCAAATTTAATTACAATTAGACTCAAGGTTCAGCCACTGAGGCTAGCTGTTAGCACAGGCCTGCAACCCCACACTCAGGAGGCAGAACCATCAATGTCTGTGAGTCCCAGACCAGTCTGGGCTACAGGGCAAGTGTTAGTTCAGCCTGGGCTGCACAAGGGGATCTTGACAAACAAACAAACAAACAAACAAGCAAACAAGAGGCTCAGCAGACAAAACCAGAAAGATACTCATCATGATAAGTGCTGTGGAAGTATGTGAAACACACAAATACAATAACATAAAGGCAGTCATGATGAATACAGAACAGAAGAAAGAGAATGCTGGAGAGATAGGAAAGAGCTGTGCAAAGGAGACTGTTGCTTGGAGTCTGGTAGTTATGGCTGCCCATATATGCCTGGAAGGTGGGGGAAAAAAATTCTGAAGAGGTCAGCCTTGGGCAGGACTGAAAGCATCACTAGTAGGCCAGACAGCGTTTTCAGAACACGTCAATAAAAAGAGTTTCGCTGGGGATGGATTTGAACTGTGTTTGACCAATTGTCTACCGCACTAGCCCAGGCAAAATACAATAAGGAAATGGTGCAGGTTCTGGGGATTAGGGTCAGGATTGTAGATTTGCTTACAGAGGGACCTCAGGACTTGACAAAGTCCAGAACAATCTCAGAACTAGCAGAGGCCTCCGAGGCTGTGTAGCCATCCAACCAATAACTGAGGGTTTGGATGGAGAAATGCTATCTCTAGTGCATCTGAACAGAAACGTCTTACTGAAGGCTGAAACATGACTGTGTAGGTAAGATGGGCCTTAGGGCATACATGACAGGAAACAATCATGTACGCTGATCAAGTATGTGGGCAATGGTGCAATGGCAGCAGCAGCTTTCACACTGCCTGGGATATAACACACATGCAGACTATGATGGCTGTGTGTGCATACTCAGGGTATATATGTATACAAGGGCTGGTATCCTCATAGAGGTCTGGGAACCAATCCCCAGTGCACTAGGAGACAGCTGTATACTATTCCAACGTAGGGTTGAAGAGCTGACAAAATTTAGTTTGGCACCATTCATCAGGAAGCAGAAGTCATCAACACTTGCTCTTCAGCTTATATTAAAGGACAAAAGAAAGCAGGGAAGAAACACTGTCTAGAAATTAAGATCAAAGCTCTAATTTATTTTTAAAAGGTTGGACACCTGCTACATAGCTCAAGAAGCAGGCATGAGGTTTACAGTAGGCTGCCAGCAGGCCCCACAGTTCAGACTCAGCTTCTGGCTGGCCTTGCTACTGGAGCTTACTGTTTTTATGAATGGAGATAACACATCCATCATGACCAGGGCCTGAGCGCCATCTCCTGTACCACAAAACCAAACAAAAAAGGTAGAGAAAAGATAGAATGTGCACTTATAGGTTCTGAAAAGACATACAGCAAAGCATTCTCTTCAGATGCCAGACACTGTGGCACCAGCCTGGAACTCCACCCAGCACTCTGCAGGTACCAAAAGGTGGGTAGGGAAACCTCAGCTATGAGATATCCCAAGGCCAGCCCGGGCTATGTGAGACCCTGCCTCAAAGACCACAGGAAGGGAGGGGTCACCTCTGGGTCATTTTCATTTCCTTATTTACAAGAATTTTATTTCCTAAAACTAGTATGCAATGTTTTTACAGAAAAATTGTCATAAAAGGCAACAAGACTGAGGACATAGTTAATTTCAGTCTTTGCAAGGTCAAACAAAGGTTACAGAGCTGAGATAGTCTTAAAGAGGTTGGATCCAATTCATCTGTCTCTGAGAGTCTTGTGCCTACTTCAGCTGCTCCTGAAGCCATGTCCACTTACATTCTTTTTATGGTTTCTATCCAGCATAGCTATGAAGGAACATTAAGGCAGACCTTTCTGAGAAGACAAAAAGCCTCTGTAGCCTTGGGATGGAAACTTCTTAAGGGAACACTAGTCCCTGTCATCAGAGACTTTGGTTGCTTGAGGATAGAAATTCTGAAGAGAACAAAGAGCAGAGAGCCTGTTGATGCTGTGCTGTCACTGCAGGGCAGGCATGCTAGTAATTTTATATTATAATGATGGACAAAGAACAAGGTGCCCCATTCACCACGTGTTCCTGCCACCACAGGCTCTCAGGCCCTGCCAAGCAAAAAGAAACTTCCAAGGAGTGTGAAAGGGGCTGAGAGCAGGTAGGTCACCAATGGACACATAAATAACCAGAGACCTGGGGTGGGGTGGAAGGGTAGAGTGGTGGTTGAGAGATGCTATGTGATCGCTCACCAGCCGGAATTTATGTCCTAAATCAGGCTTGCTTCTGTCTGCTGCTGCTGTTTTTACCAAACAGATAGGCACTCAGGGAAATGCCAGTTGGGCCATAAAGGTAAGCGGTAGCTGTTGGGCCTCACTGCACTTGGTTTCATCAGTTCATGGTAGAAAGCCTTGTCTATGCGAAAGCCATCACTAGTGCATATAGATTTTGGAAGAAAAGGCTCAGTTCAGAGGCAAATCTCTCCCTTTCTTATTCCTTTCCCTAGTTTGTACGAGGCAACCTCCCCTGCTGGCACTCAGAGGCGGGTCAGGCCAGCCTCATACTCCACATGCCAGCCTGCTTCTGGGCACGCGATGCTCAGGTTTGGGACTTTCCTTTTCTTCCCTCCTGGCTAGCTGGTGCAAATAATGGTCCTGTTCCAGAGCAGGGAGTTGGTGAGTGGCTGAGCTTCCAACTCTCCCCAGCTTTCAGCCACACCAAGAATGCCTGGGAGCCATCTACAGCTTGGCTTAGACCCACAAAGCAAACTCTGCAGAGACTGCCAGAAATGTCCCCACCTAAAACACTGCAGGGTGAGGCTGCTTTTCTGAGTCATCTTCTTCGGAAGCCACCTTCTACAAAACCACAGGCTCTCACAACATACCTGACTTTAAAGTGTTGTCTTCCAGGCTCCACGTAGCCTCACCTCATCTTTTTTGTTTAGTTTTTAATTTCTTTTATGGTTCCCAAAGGGACTGAGCCAAATAAGTAGCTTTGAGTGGCTGGCATGCATTTCTAAACTGAAGGCCAAAGGTCTCCAGTGAGCTGATATTGGCTGGTAGTAACATTTCTCCTTGTTTGAACACCCTCTGCTGCATTTCATGGGTCACAGACGCTCACTGACACTCCAGACAGTCCCAAGCAGAGGATCACATATCCAGCCACAAAACAAGAAATAGGCAGGCTGCTTGCCTGAACACAGGACCAAGCTCTTCATTGCCACAGGGGGTCTGTCCACAGCCACCAAGACCTACTACAACAGTAAATCCCAACCCTGGGGCTAGAGAGGAACCTGGATTATCTAATAGATTCCAGAAGCATGTACCTAGAAGATAAGCAGGGACAGAAAGCTCTAGGCCAGGTGACCCATGGGGCTGGTGAAGATTTCTCTCTCACAGCATACCCATGACTTAAAAGACAGAAGAAAACTGAGTTCAGGTCCCCAAGACAAAGCAATGACTGACTGGGAGGAGAAGCCTGCCTGATGTGTGGCCCTTAACTATAATAGGGAGGAATCTGAAAGGCAGGTTGGAATGAAAACAAGTGCCATGGTCAGGTAAAAGCTGGGGTAAACCAGATCACCTGTTTGACAAATCCAAGCCAGATGCTTAACCTACTACAGGTATTAAACTGTTGAATGGAGACTCCACCCAAAATACACAACATGCTTTGAATGGCATCACTTAACATACAATACAGTGGCCACTGTCACATCTGCCCACATCCCAAAGGTGCCCAAGCCAGTGGCTGCTGGAAGCCAGCAGTTTCCTGACAGCATTACTTTTATAGACATATTAAAAACACCCTGTCATGGCTGAGAGGCTAGTAACAAGCTTTACTCTGTTCCCAAAACAGTTATCCCAGGTACCTTAGGTATTCCGGAACACTCAAGCCAGTCATGGGTGATGTTCTCAATGGTCAGGCCGAACCTTCAGAAAAACAAACAAACAAACAAACAAACAAACAAACAGAAACCTAATGGTTAAAAAAACACTTCAGAGCACACACAACCAGGATGGCTAAGAACTCGGGCAGAGGATGTGCTTTCTTGAAAAACAGCACTGCCCCATTGGCTGGGGGTGTGGGAAGGAACTCATTACACATCAGGGTGATCTCTCGAGGAAACAGCAGTGTCTGCACATGGAAACTGAAGAGTCACAGGCACATAGCAACAGGTGATTTTAATGCTGTGAGGGGATCAAGGAGTGTTCCCAGAAAACATGGAGCTGGCAAGGCAAGTGAGGCTTCAACAACAGCTAGCGTGGCAGCAAGCTGTGAGATGGACAGTAACAACGGGCTGCAAAAACAGGGTACACTGGGATCGGCCCCTGTCTGTTTTCTAGGCAGGCCCACATCAAACCCCCTCTCCATGCAGTAACAGGAATGCTTGTTACATTGGCTGAAATGCTTTTGCTTTCTTGCCCTGCTGACTTCATTGGTCTGTAAAATCATTAACTATCTGGAATATTAAGAGCTGGTGGTCTTCCTTCATCAATGCAGTTTACAGCAAACCTACCTCCTTTCATCCCCTTCCAGACAATTCTCACTCATGTCCACTCTCTGCTCCCTGGTCCTTAGCCAGGAAGAAGGCAGCCTGTTTCCTTGGGTACCCATAACTCCCTATCCCCCACTTGATCACAGTGTCTAGCATGTTTGGGACTGAATTATTTGGTTGCATCACTTTTACAATCTCCTTGAAGGATGAAGGGCTTCCTCTAGCAGCCAATCCCAGCACTCACCACGGTTCCTGGTAGGAAACTGATTTCTATGGAGATGTTTTTACTTGAATAAATGAAAGCACATTTCTAGGAGATTTCTGCTCTGCAGGTAAAGCCTTGGCTAGTCAAGCCTGATGGCCAGAGTCCCACCCTAAAATCCACACAAGAAGCTGGATGTGGTGGCACACCATCTGTAATCCCAGCACTGCTATCAGGAGAAGGGAGTGGAGACAGAACAACTGCCTCAAAGTTTGTGGGCCAGCTAGCAGAAAACAAAAGAGTAACCCTGCCTTAGCAGGGTACAGTTGAGAACAGACTCTCCAGAGTTGTCATCTGGCAACAATGGGCAGGTATATGAGCACACACATGCACAGAATAAATGTAAACAACTCCCTGCTACAGTTTCTCTATTGACAACAGAAGTTGTTGAAATATGCAGTATAACCCACAATGTTGAGGTACTCTAAGGCTAGGACCACCAGGTAGAAGATGAGGAGAGAACCTAAGATAGAGAGACTACCTCTTCAGGCCAACCTGGTCCCCACAGTCAGTGGAATTTCTGGCCATGCCTCATAAGAAAGATAAGTAAATTTTGCACTCAAAAATACATATGAAGGGAGGAGTCTGTTCCTCAGAGCACCTTCAAGAGGACCACTGTCCTCCCTTGAGCTTGGGAGAAGGCCTGGAAACACCCTCAGTGGACTTGGCTGACCACATAGGACTAGAAGGCTGGGTCTGACTGTCCACTCAGGAAAAGCATCACAGAAGATCTCAGGACAGGGCTGGAAGTTAGTATACAGACAACAGGCCCCAGGGCTCAAAGCCCTGGGCTGCTCAGGAGACAGAACCCTCTACCAAATAAACTATGTCCCGGCTAAGGTGGGGCCAGACTGCCTTTGTTTCAAACAAGAGTAGGCATTCAGCTGAGTCATCTCACTTCCTATATAAGTAGAAATCAGTCTTATCTGCCAGCCTCACACATTTCAAGGGATGATGATGATAACAACAACAACAACATTTTCTTGGATGCAGGTAGAAAGTGTTGTTCACTGGCTTAATTTCTAGCCAGACTCCTATGACCTACACTCTGGCATTATCTTAGTGACCCTTACAAAACCAAAGCCAGAGGCACTTCTAGGCTCATCATGCTGCACTGACCATGTAGGAAAGTAGGTCCATAGCATATGGGGAGAGATAGCACTCAGAATGCTTAGAAGTAGCAATGGCTGGTCAAAAGGCTTGGCACAGTGGATGTATCCAAGAGCACACAGGGTCTGGGATTAAATGTCCTGAAAAGGCAACATCTAAGGAGTGACTTAATTGCCATTTCTGAGTGATTTTTAAAAAGATGGGAAACAGTTATTGGGCATCAGCACAGAAAAGCAAATCTAGGACACAAACATCATTTCCTTTGTTGAATTTCACTGCAAGAGCCTTCTTTCAGGAGCACGGTGAAGCTGGAGAGTGAAGACTAAGAAACAGGTTTGGGCATGGTCTCAAGTCCTCAGGTGAGAGGGCTAAAGGTCAGGCAAACATCTGTATGAGGCAAGCATCTGGTGGAGCTTCTGTGCTCAGATTAGTGGGGAGCTGAGGTGAAAAATTCCAGGATTTGACTGTCTCTGAGGAACAGATGACAGGTGCTTCAGAGAATGCCAATAGCCTGTAGGATGCACATCTATGATATGGGAGACCACCTCCTGGCATAGGGAGAAAAAAATGAGTAGAGGATACTAAGAACACTTAGAAGAGGCTCTAAAAAGAGGCACCACTTGAGCATGTAGCTGGGGAAGCTGCAATGATTTGCATGCTTGAACAGGACCTCTGGAAATAAAGAAAGATACAGAGTGAGAAGACCCAAGTGCCTGTCCCACAGGGTCAAGGCATAGATGAGGCTTGGCCCAGCCAGTAGCACCACAATGGGGTGAGAAGAGACCTTTGCTACAAAACAAGGAAGAGGCTGGAGGCTGGAGGCCATGTGGCAGGCTGCTGATCTTTGGGGATGTGTGTATGCAGGTGCACATGCACTTACTTTGGAGATAGGGTCTAGTTGTGTAGCACAGGCTGGCCTCAAACTCAAGATCCTTCTACCCCAGTTCCTGAGTAGGTGTGCTACCACCTGCACGCCAAGGATGCAGAGTGCTGGGGAAGGATACGGAAGGCAGAGAGATTGAGGGTGGACTCTGGACATTTCACCGAAAGCATGTGGCCACTACTGTGCCCATCTATGACTAACTCTGCAGGTTTGCTCACTGGCAAAGAGTTAAGGAGATACTGTGGCTATATTCAGTATCTGCACACAAACTCTATGGCACTAAAACAGAAAACAAACAAAAACATCGGTAAACATGGCCAAGTGAAGGCACAGAAGTAGCAGCTGCCATCTATGTTCTCACCATGTAAGAACAGTACAGAAAAGCATTCACTTAAACCTTAGAGAAACAGCACAAAGCTGTTACTATACACTGTGTAGAGTTGAAGTCCTGAGAGGTTGGGAAACCATGTGAGGCCACAGGGATGGTACATGAAGAGGTGGGGTTGAAATTTATGAAGCTCCGCCTTCTTTCCCATGCTGAATTTCCCATCTTTCTCATGACTCACTTTCTGCAATGGTATAGACACTCCAAATGATGCAGAGCCTGTCACCCATGCTCAAGACAGCCTTTCCTGCTCGATAATACCTCTGACGCTGAGAGTGGCCTGCTTCCTGCTGTGTCTGCCCTGCTTGTCATCTCTCCAATTATAGTTCTGAAGACATGAAGAGGGCCTTCCAGGGCAGAGAAGTGAGGACAGGAGAACTCCCTAGGCTACATTCAGAAGCAAAAACTATTCTCTGTTAAGTGACAGGAACTTGAATTTTCAGACTACTTCTCTGCAAAGACTGGAAACACCTCATAAGCACACTCACTTTGTTCTTTGCAGTAGCTGTGTGAAGTGGACGGTGACTTTGCTTGAGCAGGTGTTGAGTCTGTAACCTGGGCAGACTCTGGTACAAGTGCTGTTAGCGCAGACGCCACACTGCACTAAGCCTCTCTAGGGAACTGGAATAAGGCCGTAAGACGATGGTTCATTAATACCTACTCCCAGAAAGCAAGAAAGCCACCACGTGAAGATGGTTCATTTTTCTGGGAAGAAATGGAGCAGATGTTTTTAGAGCAGTGGGAGTACCAATCCAGGTTTTGCTGTCCTTATCATTACTGCAGATATGGTGCAGCATAGATTAAGTGAACAGCTGTCTGTCACAGTCAGAACTACAGGGTCTAGGCCAGTGCTGTGTGTTTTCCCTTTGGAGGCTGCGTGGCTTAAACAATCACAGCACACAAGCAGAGGTATTTCCATGTAGCCTGGACCCAGGACACACAGGAAATGACCATTCTGTCTGTCTCATCACTATTGAAATTGATTTTATCCAGCTATCCAGATAGCTGACAGGACACAGACCCAAGGCTGCATGTTCTTCATATCTGTACTAGGGCATTCACTCCTCACAGCCAATGGCTGAGACCTGGAACGAGGAGCAGCAGGCAGTGCTGCCCACTGGCTGCCCGCTTCTGTGCACATTTAACATGGCAGCGTGGAGTTTTTGTGGGCTATCTTGAGACCCTTTGGGCTGAAAATGTGGTCAGAACTAGTTAATACAGAAGGGAATAGGACATGCTCATCTCCCTGACATGGCACTGCTTTGAAAAAAAAGCGTGTGTTTCGAGATTAGAAAGTGAAGAAGTTAAAAGTGGTCTTTCCATGATGTTGAAGTGAACAGAAACAAGCAGACTTGAGGGAAGCAGTCGGCACACACCTGGCCGTGCTTGCTGTTGACTTCTGAGCTGCTCTGGTAAGAACGAGGCAGCAATTATCAACTCTATCAGTGCATGCGCCTATCAGCTTGCTGGTGATTGAGTGCGATGCTGTTATCATTCTTGGCTCCTACCTTCAGCCTCCTGGGATTCTATCACTCACATTCGGCTGCTCCCTCCACAGCCCAGCACACAGCCCCTTCAAATGCCACATGAAGCAAATGTGGGCCTCAACAACTTTGAAAGTATAGGTACTAGATATAGAAAAGGATCAGAGTTTGAGATGGAAGTGCCCTTGTCCTAGAATGCAATTTAAACATTGATAGATTATGCTTTTCAACCCCTTCCCTACATGTGGAAACAAACCATGTGTCTCAGAGCTTTCCAGGCTGTTGCTCATTTTGCTGACCAGAACAAGGC